CTGTTGCATTGACCTCTGAAACAGCTATTCGGGTCTCAGAGGTAACGTATAATTGGTATCAGTGACATTAACACGTTAGTCAACCCATTAGAGCCTTGTTGTCTTCTTCTCGTTTCCATAAATCAATTAGGAAAAACAAATCCCGTATCTGATCTTTGGGTTTGCCTTTACTTGCCTATTTCGGTCTCTCAGTCCATTAACAGATACAATTTGTGAATGCCTTTCTTCTCTTTCTATGCCGTTAGCTTATGCCGTATGACTGTTCGTTCTTATTTTCCTGTTTCCTCTAGTTGGAAACTACTTTGATATGGCCTGCAAGGATACTGCAGGCCAAGCCTTCCCAGAAGTCGTGGCACAGACAGGCTCACAGGCCAAACGGAGATGCTCACGTCAAGTTTATTACATCGCTTTGAAGCAGGAGGGAAGAGATGGGGTACGCTGCCACACTAGGGTGGGTACAAGTGGGAAGGGCCACACGACATGGATCCCCAGTTATGAAATGTTTGGTTGCACCTGGTCCTCTCTCTCTCCTGCAACAGCCTGCCCAGCGGTGGTCGGGGGAGAGACTGACGCTAGAACGAGGCCAACAGACAGAAGGTGCTGGGCCAGGACACACTTGCTCTGTTAGAGAGGCAGAGCAGCTATGTCTCGCCACGGCTGTAGCTCGCCCAGTGGCCTGCCAACAGCTTACGGGTTCCAGCACCATTCTTAGGCAGAGCACCTCTGGGTCCAGGACCATGGTGGCCGGAGGAAGGGTGATGTGGCTGAGCTAATGTTATACTAACCAACAGTCACATAGTCTTCATTTCCTCAGTTAAATGGATTGCCATTACTTATGTTTTTGTGTTATTTCACTCCTTTCACCTCGCCCTTTCTCACTGTCCTCCCCATTCTGGTCATTTTAAAAGGAGAGTATTCTGCTAAGTGAAATAAATCAGTCAGAGAAAGACAAATACCACTTCACTTATATGTGGGATCTAATGAACAAAATAAACAAAATAGAAATAGACTCATAGATACAGAGAACAGACTGACAGCTGTCGGTGGGGGCGGGGTTGAGGAGCTAGGTGAAAAAGATGAAGGGATTAAGCAAAACACACACACACACACACACACACACAGAGACAATAGTATGGTGACTGCCAGAGGGAAAAGGGGTGGGGAGGGGTGGGAGAGGGCGAAGAGGGGATAAATGGTGGCAGAGAGAGACTTGACTTCGGGTGGTGAGTGCACAGTGCAGGGAGCAGAGGGTGTGTTATAGAGTCGTACACCTGAAATCTGCATGGTTTTACTGACCAGTGTCACCCCACAGATTCAATGTAAAAGACACTAGACATGTTTTGTGCAAGTTCTTCCCTAAAGTCAAACTTATTCAATTATCCATATATTTCTATTTGATAATAACATGTAGTCTGTGGAATATAACTCTCCTTTCTCCGTCTGAATTTCTTACGTAGTCCATTTATTTGACACAGGAGGCTTCTGAAATATTCCCAGGAGCCACAGCCGTTCTAGACCTCAGCAGCTATCTGCTGGGCACAGTAAAATGCAAACCTGGAAAGGAATGGCTGTGAATGCATCTCCAGGGGGATGCAGAACCTACTGGCTGCCTCCTCCCTCCCCAACGCATGCACTTCTCGCACAGTCTTCCCAACATATCTCAAGTGCTTTCCTGAAAAGTTCTGCTTACCAAATGCTGTTTTTAAAAGTCAAGTTGCAACCTACGTCTTAATTTTAGACTTTCCTCTTACCCAAATATATTTGTAAAAAGTACAGGAAAGAAGTCATGTTTGGGGGGAAAAAAAGACAAAAACTTTAATAAGCCTGGAAGATTGGGTCCGTAAACAATAGAACGAGGCTGCCTGGCCAGCATGGCTCAGTGGTTGAGCGTGGACCTATGAACCAGGTCAGGTTTGATTCCGGTCAAGGGCACATGCCGGGGTTGCAGGCTCCATCCCCAGTAGGGGGTGTGCAGGAGGCAGCCCATCCATGATTCTCTCATCATTGATGTTTCTATCTCTCTCTCCCTCTCTCGTCCTCTCTGAAATCAATTTTAAAATATATTTAAAAACAAATAAACAATAACAAAAAATAGAACGAGACTGAGCAGGATGCAGAAAATTGTACATAATGCTAAGTGGCTAAGACAATGACCCCCTGAACCAAGATGTGTGCTGTCCAATATGGTAGCCACTGCCTAGATATAGCTAATTAAGTTTAATTAAATTTGTAAAAGTAAGTTCCTGGGCATAGAAGCCACATTTCTAGTGCTCAGTGGCGACATGTAGCTAGTGGCTACTATATTGGTTAGTGCAGATAGCATATTTCTATCATTATAGAAAGTTCTCTTGGAAATGAAATTACAATTTTCTACAAATGTCTAGGAACAATTTGATAGTCTGGAAGTCTGGAAAGCAGTAGGCCAACTAGGATGAGTCAGGATACATATCATCCATAGGTTGTGATAGAGGAGTGTGTGTGTGTGTGTGTGTGTGTGTGTGTGTGTGTGTGGGCAGCAGGGAGAGATGGTGCGCTCCCTATTCAGGAAACTGGGGATATTGATCCTATTCTCTGAAATAGGAAACGCTAAAGGAGTGGAATTGATTTTATTTTTTAGAGGATGGGGTTAAAGGTGAATTTCTGTTTTATCCATTTTAAGTTTGAGATTGTGAGGGACAATCTAGCAAGATGTACAAAAGACAGTTGGATATAGAAGTCTGGAGGAGTCATTTTCAAGTAGCCTAAAGGGAGATGCATGCATGGTGGATCTCTCTTCGCTCCCTTAAAATAAGTGCCTAGAAGAGAAATTGCTTTTTCAGAGTATGAATATGTGGAGACTTTCCACATTTCTTCTCCCTGTCCCCGAGTGGCCCTTATGATGTGGTGATAAACAGGCATTCCCTAGTGGCCCTTATGATGTGGTGATAAACAGATGTTACTGATGGGTGTGGTCAGAGTTACAGCCCTGCCTTTGTGAAAACGGCCAGGGCCCTCCGCTGTATTCCAGTGGCTTTGTAAACACCCTAAGGTAGTACCCATTTGCTCCCTTATCAGTCCAGGTTCCAGGCAGGAAAACAGAAATTCTCTAAGGAATTTTCAACAGGTAGCAGAAACGTATACAGAGGCGCTAGAAGATCAAAGGGCGGACCCTGCGATTAAATCACACACTCCTGGCTGCAGGACTGGCTCAGTCCTAGAGCTGGGACAACAGAGTGAGGGCGGTATTTTGTCATCAGAGCTCCAGAGCAAACTCACCGCTGGGGGCGCCCCTGAGGGGGGGAAGGGAAGACAGGCCACCAAGGAGGGGCTGCTGCACCTGGCCCTGGGGCTTTGTAAGGAACACAGCCTTTCCCCAGGATGCCACCTTCTGACTCCCTGCTTGGGCCTCCTCTGGGCAGGTTAGTGGGAGCCACCTGGCCAGGAAGGCTGGGAAATGTAGTCTGCAGACTCCCAGCCCAACCATCACCACGGAGCAGAGTATCCGTGAATACGGGGCCCAGAGACCACAGGCAAATAGCCTGCACTTGGTTAGGGGTACAAACTTTTCCTCCTTTACCTGTAAATAAAGGAAATGGACTCATTTGGTGTTTGATCTTTTATGAACTTGGCAGACTCCAGGGAGGGTCTATCACCATGACTACCATATAAAATGCTCAATAAAGCCCGGCTGGTGTGGCTCCGTGGTTGACTGTCGACCTATGAACCAGGAGGTCAGGGTTTAATTCCCGGTCAAGGGCGCATGCCTGGGTTGCAGGCTCGATCCCCAGTGGAGGGCATACAGGAGGCAGCCGGTCCACGATTCTCTCTCATCATTGATGTTTCTAGCTCTCCCTTCTTCTCTGAAATCAATAAAAATATATATTTTTAAAAATAAAGTGCTCAATAAATATCACTAAACATTTGAGCAAACAAATGCCTATCTATCCCCATCATTGGTAAATAGTTCAAATCAGTACTCAAATTACATGATGGGCAGGTAAAGTGATTTTTTAAAGAACACTTTAACTCCTACGTACAATTTAGTATTTTCCATTACAGTTGGGATTGTGCGTCTGGACAACTGTCGACAGTTTGGCTCAAACTCACAAAAATTCTTCACAGGTTTGAGCGTTGCCTACGGGAGGCAACATAATGTCTCAGTCCACTCCTGACACCGAGTTTGCAATAGGAGTGGACGAGAAGGGTAGCAGCCTTCCAGTGGAGAGGGGAGCACCCACCTCCCGCCCCCCAGACCCAGGTGTGCAGGGGCCGTTTCCACGCCGGGGGTTATTCCCACTAAGACAACTGCACACGCACAACAAGCGGCCCCCGGGCCTCTGGGCCGTGGTGCTGCCACCCGCCCGATCCCCTGAAGGGAAGAACCATCGGACTTCTCGGGGCTGCTCTGGCGCCGCCCGCTGCCGGGGCAACAGCAAGAAATGATGCGACTCCAAGGCAACCAAACGCGGCCACGGCGCATGCGCCAGGCGCGGTCACGGTTCCCATCCTCCAGGCTCTGAGTGGCAGGCACCGTGCACCACCCCCCTCCGCCACCACCCAGGTGCCTCCCAGCCACGGCCCCTCAGGAACGACGGCGCCCCCCGGAGGTGCCTCCCAGCCACGGCCACTCAGGATCGACGGCGCCCCCCGGAGGTGCCTCCCAGCCACGGCCACTCAGGAACGACGGCGCCGGGCTCCAACCTGCCGTCCAGCTCCAGGTGGTGCTTTCGGGAAGAAACTGATACCTGGCAACTTTTTAAAACGGAATTAACGGAAAGGGGAACGAAGAAAGCGGTGCACACCTGGGAAGCGGGGCTGACACACCAAAGGTGTCCGACGTCCCAGGAGAAGCGGCAGCGAGGAGCCGCCCACACGACTCCCGCGCCGGGGCTTCGGGGGGCGGGCACCGAGGCCCCGTCCACGCCACGGCGGCTCTCATTGGGCCCCTTCCTGTGGCGTCAAACTTCGGCGTCTGGAAGGAGGCGGGACTTCCTGGCTGGAGAGCCAATTCCGGCCGCGCCGGAAGTGCCCATTGAAGAAAGGATGAAAGGTGCCCGCCGCCTGGCGCTCCAGGCAGGTCTAGTGTTCCGCGAGTTTGGAAGGCAAGTTGGGCGGAGATTCCTCCGCTAACCGCCGAGTCCCGGGGTAGCGGGAAGCGAGAGCCCGGACATGGACAGCCGCCTGCAAGAGATCCGCGAGCGGCAGAAGCTACGGCGGCAGCTCCTCGCCCAGCAGGTCCGCGGCCAGGGAGGGGTCGCCGTGCGCGTGCGCGGCCGCCGCGGCCCATCGATCTCTGTCCGCCCCGCGGCCCCGACTCGTGGCCGAGCCTCCCCTCTGGTTCTCGGCCCCCGCGTTGCCCCGAGGCGTTCCCATTCCGGGTCGCGTGTCGCGGTGGCGGTGGCGATGCTACACTGGACGCCACGTCTGGTTGTCAGCGACCTCACGCGGTGCCCTCCCCTCCCCAAGCCCTGGTCTTGGAGTGCATCCCGCCCCCCGGAAGTTCCTTGTCCCCTACCTGCCTCTCCACCGTGCTCCTCTGTGTGTTGCCTTTCCTCGTGGTCAGCACCTGAGCCTTGAGATGTAGTTTCCTTGTGAAATGGGTGTACAGAATTTGGGGGGGTGGGGGGAAAAGTCATGTCTAAAGGCTGCGTCGCAGGTAGCCTGAGTGCGTTGTATGGTAAATCGGCGAGATGGATACGCGTCGCCTTCATGAGCCAATTAGGAGTCTTTATTCCCGCGGGCCCAGAGGGCGGTGTTTCCCAAATCTCTGAGCAAACACATAGAGGAAGTTCTCTGTATTTATACCTTTTTGAGCCCTTTGCAGATTTCACCAAGAGCTCTGTGTAGGCTATTGTTACAGACAGTTTGTAACCGGTACTTGGCATGAGAATATGGGAATTACTGTCGGAATCGGCATTGGCCTGTTACGTCAGACGGCTAGCTTGCAAGGTCAGACAGCTAAGTTTTCATCTTTTTCTGCTATTCAAACTCAAACAGTTACTTTACAGCATAAGGGACTGTCTAAACATAGCAGAGGTGACCTACAGAATAAGAGACTAAGAATAACAGAGTAGTTCAAACAACAGTTTTCCAAAGGAGGGGTTACTGTGCTTCAAGTGTACATTCTAGATTCTGCTATTGCAGCCCACCGTGCACTGTGCAGTGTCCTGGTGGCCACCCACAGCTAACATGTGAATTTGTATTCTATGTCACAGCACACCCCTGCTGTGAGTAGTGAGTATTATCTTCACTTACAGGAGGCTCTAGCGCAGCGGTTCTCAACCTGTGGGTCACGATGCCTTTGGCGGTCGAACGACCCTTTCACAGAGGTCGCCTAAGACCATCCTGCATATCAGATATTTACATGACGATTCATAACAGTAGCAACATTACAGTGATGAAGTAGCAACGAACATAATTTTATGGTTGGGTCACAACATGAGGAGCTGTATTTAAAGGGCCAGAAGGTTGAGAACCACTGCTCTAGCGGTGCAGTGATTGTGGCATAGGGGTCAGTCGCTTCTGGGCCAGGAAACGGAACCCAGTTTGTTTCTCTAAAGCGTGTCTCCGCTGCTTCGTGTGTGTAAGTTAACACTTGCTGATGAGTAGAGTAGGCGTGCAGAAATGCTCAAATCAGAGTTTGTGTTCTACATTTTACCGTTCAGATCAGACGGAGTGATGGCGAGGCTTTAATGAGGAATCTGAATGTGTTGTTTTTTTCAGTAGTAAATCTTAGTTTTAGTTGATGGAAATCTGAAACCTCTTATGATCGGATGAGAAGATTGATAGTATAGTATTACAAAGGTGGGCATTTGGGATCTGTCAGTCCCTGTCCCTGTGGCATTACGATCTTAGACAAATCAGGTCTCTTTTTCTAAGCCTTCTTTGTTCCGACTTTCTGTGTCAGGTTATCTTCAGTAGCTTCTTGTTGCGGTCAAGTAAAGTCCTTACACTTTAATTTGAATTCAAACTCTGCTTGACTCTAAATACATTATAGAACAGCAGTTCTCAACCTGTGGGTCACGACCCTTTCACAGGGGTCGCCTAAGACCATCGGAAAACACATATATAATTACGTATTGGTTTTGTTATTAATCGCTATGCTTTAATTATGTTCAATTTGTAACAATGAAAATACATCCTGCATATCAGATATTTACATGACAATTCATAACAGTAGCAACATTACAGTTATGAAGTAGCAACGAAAATAATGTTATGGTTGGGGGTCACCACAACATGAGGAACTGTATTGAAGGGCCACGGCGTTAGGAAGGTTGAGAACCACTGTTACAGAACAACTAGAGGTCCGGTGGGGTCCCTCAGCCCGGCCTGCACCCTCTTGCAGCCCGGACCCCTGGGGATGTCAGACTGCGGGTCTTGGCCCGATCCCCAGTGCCGACATTACCGAAGGGATATAGTAGTGCGTAAAACAACAGGCAGCCAGGCGCCGCATGCTCCCGCTCATCCTGGCCCTGCTGCGTCTTCCACTGCCGCTCAGTAGCTGCTGCCATGGAGGTGGGAGAGGCTCGTGCCCTGGCAGCTGCGCTCACCAGCTGTGAGCCTGGTGTTGGCACCTGTCAGTCAGCTGAGCAGAGGGAGCCCGCTGGCCACCAGGAGGCAGCTCCTGTGTTAAGCGTCTGCCCCCTGGTGGTCAGTGCATGTCATAGCACCCTGTTCAGTCGTTCACCTAGGCTCTTGTATATGTAGACTGTAATTCATTTAACTATGAATAATAGCTAGCCCCTACCCTCAAAGAACGTACAGAATGCAGGAAAACTTGATGGCTGCCATTTTAAGTCCCTTCCATGTGTCAGGCTCAGCTGAGCTCTTTACCTACATTGTCTTCGCTGGTACAGATACACATCCTACAGATGAGAACAAACGAAGCTCAAAGAATTTCAGTTAAGTGCTCAAACCCACAAAGCTGGTGAGTTTTCAGGCTGCAGTTTTAGATCCAAATGCTCCTGGTCTCCTAGTGGGAGGGGCCCCATCCCACCTAAGTGAGGATGTCCAGTGTAACCAATGACAGATTCCACTTTCGCCCTCACTTCGCCTTTCCTCACTTTTCTCTATAGGAACGAGACAGACAGAACATGTTTTTACTTAACCCAGTCACCCCACAATTTTTAAAAAAGGTTGGAGCATGAGAAGGCAATTACATGTGTAAGCAGAATTTTGATTTAAAGCATTTCTCTGCAGTATACTGGTTCCTAACGTAGGCCTTAGTGGGAAATCTTATTGGTTCCCTCACATTTATTGAGCTTGTGCTATGCGTCAGACATTATACTGCTGCTGGACATACAGATACAAACAGGACAGACAGTGTTCCTGCCAGGGAGGTTACCGTTCAGTGGGGAAGAAATAAACTGATAAAATAATTGAAATATACAAATAAAGTACTTAGACGTTGTGATAGAGGTTGTGAAACAGTATACCTTGGGAGCAAACAAAAGTAAAACAAAATAATTGAAAGTATGTTAAGTGCTGTGGTCTGGATGAGGGAAGGAGGTAGAAAAGAGAACCGTGGGAGGGGCTACTTACTCTACATGCAGCGTTCATGGGGCCCCTCCGAGGAAGCAGCTCGGACTCACTGGGTATGAGAAGGGGCGCGGCCATGAGAAGGGCAGAAAGCTTTCCCGCTTCCTCCGGGGGGAGTGGCTGTGTCTCCTGGGTCAGGAGATAGGGTCTGGGAGATTATGGAGCAGTTAAAACTCCAGGAACAGATACTGTGGAAAAGCATCATCCCTGGAGAGACATGGGTGGACGGAACAGTGGTGCCTAAGGTAAATGCTGAGGACTTGTGGCTGATGTGCTAGTACGCCTTCCCACTTCCTGGCTAAAGGGACTGTTTAGTACACATTTCCTCACGCCCCTCTTGTGCATGAAAACAGATGTTCCTCGTGGCCTGTGGGTTGCATTCTGCGCTCCGAGGTCCGGCTCCTGAAGACTTCTGTGAGCTGATGCCACACGACGTAGCCAGTCTTCGGGTTGTTTACGTGTGTTGTACTGCAAAGTTTTCCCAACTGCCAACCAGCCTTTGCATTACCGTTTTTAAGGAATTGGTGAAGTTCAGTATTGCGCCTGTAATCATTCTGGAAAGACGTGGCTTGAATAAAAGCCAGTACGCCGTATTAGACTGAGCGTGGGTGGATAAGGTATCGCATGTGAGTGGGTGGACGCGAAGCGTCGAGCACAGTGCCGACCACACTGGACGCTGGGTGTGAGCTTTCCTGGCCGTTGCAGCTATTACGGAATCATGTTTTACTTACTTTAAAGGAGAAGATTGGCAAAGTGAAGTGTCTTCATTTCAGATTTGACTAAAAGGATAAACTGCCTACTAATCTCTTTTCTGGTTTCTGTTTTTCTCAGTTGGGAGCCGAGAGTGCCGACAGCATTGGTGCCGTGTTAAACAGCAAAGAGGAGCAGAGAGAGATTGCTGAAACCAGGGAGACTTGCAGGTCCGGCAAGTGGTTTGTTTCTGTTGCTTTACTGACAGCTTAACCTTGTGAAGGGTTATTGTTTTAATAAAATGGTCCTCGGTATGAAGTGTGCTCTTGTGAAAGCACCAGAATAAAGATTTCAGAGCCATTGGTTTTTATTGTTCATGAATGAGAAACTATTTCTTTTCTGGCTGTAGTAACTTCTCATATGGTAGGACGTGGAATGTTACACTAAGGATTAGCTGATATGCCATAAGTAAATAATTATTTTTAAGTTCCTATAGAAGTAAATAGACTTTACCCTAAAAGTATTTCATAGTTCACAAAGCATTTTAGAATTTTTCAGTTTCTAGTTATCAATTTGAGCCTTAGTTTTGCTAGAGACAGATTAGAATGATACCTAATTTAGAAGTTCCTTCTTGCCTTATATCCCTGTAACAGCTTATTTCTCAGTTGGTTGCTTACCAATCAAGTTTTGTGACTTTTTAGGTGATTTATAAACTGGGTGAATAGATACTGTTTAATCAGGAAAAACGTGCTTCATTCTGTTTTTATTAAGTTATTCCCTGCTACTAGATGCATTTATACATCTGTGCATACCTGTGTGTGATGCGTCAGTTTTAATTTCCAGGGCTTCCTATGATACCTCTGCTCCAAATGCCAAACGGAAGTCTCAGGATGAAGGAGAGACAGATGAGGACAAAATGGAAGAATATAAGGCAAGTGGAGACTCGGGCAATTTAATGGTCGAGGAAAAATAAGTCCTTCCGATAATAGGTTCTTTTTTTTTTTTTTTTAATATATTTTACTGATTTTTTACAGAGAGGAAGGGAGGGGGATAGAGAGTTAGAAACATCGATGAGAGAGAAACATCGATCAGCTGCCTCCTGCACACTCCCCACTTGGGATGTGCCCCCAACCCAGGTACATGCCCCTGACCGGAATAGAACCTGGGACCCTTCAGTCCGCAGGCCGACGCTCTATCCACTGAGCCAAAACGGCTAGGGCCCGATAATAGGTTCTAATTGAGGAAAACAAACTTGACCGAAAGCTGAATATTAAAGTGTCTGAATCATTGTCATAAGTATAATACATGTGTAAGCATGTGCATAATCAGTTAAATGAAGACTTTGTATCACTTTCCTCATTTTAACACAAGAGTGTATGGATTAAGCTGGGTGATGCGCAGAAAGCACTGAGCAAGCAGCCTGCTGAGCACTGGGCAGTGCTGTTCTTCAGTAACAGTAGGCGGTAAGGAAGTGTATCAGAAACTGGGTATTCGGGTCAGATTTCTAAAGGCTTCATACTTTCTTTTGTGATTTGTGTTCATCGGTGTTAACAATATATGGCAATAGAATTAAAATATTTTGAAAATCCATGAGCTAGCCAGCAGTAGAGCCATTTCTGAAAGAGGCCCAAAGGAAAAAATCCACCTTGTAAATTTGTAATTGTAGTGTTTAGTTGGAAAGGAAGTATAATGAGAAACCGATCTCCATTTCTTAAAATTAATTGTCCAACAGTACTTAATAGAGAAGAGCATGCATTGTTTCAGCAGTCGCTACGTAGTTCAGTGATGCAAGTACTAATCTTATCAATTCTGTCTTAGTTTTGATATATGCTAGTATGTAGTTTAAATATTTGTGACTGTTTCAGGTCAAACCATATGCAGTTCCCAATATTTGGACAGTTTTGACCTGTAAAGGTAGCTTCATGTGGTTCAATTTAATAGAAATAAAATTGGCCCATTGGTGGTTATCTCTTTTGATTTAAGCTAAATTCTAATATTTATAGTATTATATTTGAGATTAAATAATTCTAGACAACTTGGTCAACAAAACAGTAGTAATAGACTTTTATTGATGAAAATTTGTATTTTATTATGAAAAGAATAAACTAGTTATACCTAATGATTTTAATGTTCCACTGTAACGATAATGTGAGAAATTTATTATCAGGGAAATAGAACGTGTTGTCTAGTCTTAGTCAAGATACAGTAACACGTGGACCGTCCCTTCTCTGCCTCAATGTCCGCTCCCCTCCGTTCCCAGGACGAGCCTGAGATGCAGCAGGAGGAGGAGAACCTGCCGTATGAGGAGGAGATTTACAAAGACTCCAGCACGTTCCTCAAGGTAAGTCAGTGATGTCGGACCTACGACCCTTCACGTCTCAGCTCTGTGCTGCAAGGATTTTAAATACCTATTTGTTTTCGCGGGTTTTTTTTTTAGATATTAAGGAATCATTGTTATAAAACAAAGGCCACTTAAAATTATTCTGTAGCTACTGAGGAAAAACACTATCATTTTAGTTGTGGTGTTTTAATGTCAATCAATTTACATTTTATATGGCGTCATAATAAAAAACAAAGTACAGAATTAGGATATCAGAGTACATGCTGTTAATTTAATTTTGATTTTTCTTAGGGAACACAGAGTTTAAATCCCCATAATGACTACTGCCAGCATTTTGTAGACACTGGACATAGACCTCAGAATTTCATCAGGGATGTAGGTATGTCAGAGTTGTTGGACTGTGTAATTTATTTAACTTGTGGATTATTTCTGATTAGGGACTAATTCTAACTGGATTTGTCCTGGGATTTGTTTACAAGGCGTAGCCCATTAATTTAAGATGAGCAGCATTTCATCTCTACTATTTTGTCTCTTCCTTTACCAAATTATAAAGAATGAAAGAATACTCATTTTTACTAGATTCTTTAGGAGATATTTTTTCTCCAAAAGAGGGGGGAAACATGAGAGAAAGGCACTTGTTGCTCCCTTTCTCAAGAAGAGAATGATTAAACTTGATGTTACCAGCAGATTATTTAACTTAATAAGTAGGAGACATTAAATGGTTGGTGACTTGAACTTGGCTTTGGACATCTGGGTGTTAATCTGCCTACTAGAGGCCCGATGCACGAAAATTCATGCAAGAGTAGGCCTTCCTTCCCCGGCTGCCTGCACCAGCTTCCCTCCAGCACCCAGGACCGGGGCTGCTTCCCTTCTCTGGCCCCCAGCAGGCACCCGGGATCCCGGCTGCTTCCTTCTGGCCACCCACAGGCACCCAGGACCCGGGCTGCTTCCCTTCTCTGGCTGCCAGGCACCCGGGATCCCGGCTGCTTCCTTCTGGCCACCCACAGGCACCCAGGACCCGGGCTGGCTTCCCTTCTCTGGTCCCCAGCAGGCACCCGGGATCCCGGCTGCTTCTTTCTGGCCACCCACAGGCACCCAGGACCCGGGCTGGCTTCCCTTGGGCCCGGTCTTTGTCCGGAAGGACGGCTGAAAGGTCTCCCGGTCTAATTAGCATATTACCCTTTTATTATTATAGATGGAGGGAGGATCCTTAGATGTGAAATGTGTGCTGTTTCCCTGGGAGGGCTCAGCACCTCTGCTCTCTGCATTGGCTTCGAGTGTGTGACATGTGCTTGCTGCCCTCAGGTCTGGCGGACAGGTTTGAAGAGTACCCCAAGCTGCGGGAGCTCATCCGCCTGAAGGACGAGCTGATAGCGAAGTCGAACACGCCGCCCATGTAAGCGGGTTCCCGCCCTTCTTGTCCTGCTCAGCTTCCGAGGCCAGCCTTTCTGGTACCTTCCTGTTCAGAATCACTCAGCACCACATGAGCTGACATCATTACTATTCCTTCTTTATGGTCAAATAGATTCGTTTGCTGCTCAGTGCTGAGTGCACAGTAGGTTCTCATTTAATTTGTTTTCAGTTTTTCAGATAATTTGCTTAATTTTTTTTTTTTTTTTTTTTAGAAAATCATTCACATTCTTGAGTTTACTTAAAATGTTTTAAAATAGCTTTTCTTCTCAAAAAGTTATTTATTGATGGGAAAAATTTAGATGGGGAAAAGAAAGAAAATTAATAGCATCCAGGGCTACTATGGACATTTTTGGGATATGGTAATTCATTTTAACCTTTGCTAAACAGAATAATGCTTTCCTTAAAAATGTGTATAAGACCTTTGAAATTGGAGACTGTTTATTTCACACTTAGTTTACTTTAACATTTTGTACATTTATTAGTTTGCTGACATGAGTCTATTAATAAGAACAGCCACAAAAAGAAGTCTGAGTATTGGGGAAAATGCTAGCAGACTTTAGTATTCATCCCATTTAAAAAGACTTTTACATTTAAAGTATTTTATATTTAAATATTTTATATGCAAAATACTTTCATACTCTATGGAAATAACTTTTCAGTGAAGGCTAGTGATAAATTATACTAAGTGGCCAGAAAAGACTATTAATATTTTAAAAAGAAAATTTAGAAACGTTTTTAGAGGGAGCAATTTAAAATTTACAGAGATATTTTTTCCAGACTAACTAAACAATTAGAGAAAAGCAGTGCGACCTTCCCTAGGATACTGAGGTGGTGATGGAAAGGGGTTGAGTCTTACAGCTGAGCGTGGATTTTCAGTGTGAAACAAGGGGGCTGCGTGGGAACGGACTGCTTTGTGGTGCGCTTACGTGCATGTCCTGGGGAGGGCGCTGCACACGGTGCGCACTGGCCAGAGGCGAGGCCCGCAGTGGCTCCCTCGCCACGGCTGTGGGAATGGCGTCTAGTAAACAGGAAACCTCTCACCACCGCCTGCCAGTGCTCGGAGCCTCTCCTCACTGTGCTTTCCTCACGTAGGTACTTACAGGCGGACATCGAAGCCTTTGACATCAGAGAGCTCACCCCCAAGTTCGATGTGATTCTTCTGGAACCCCCTCTGGAAGAGTATTACAGAGAGACCGGCATCACTGCCAACGAGAAGTGCTGGACTTGGGACGATGTACGGTGAAACGCCGCCTGTGGGGAGCGCTTTGTTCCAGATGCATAAAGGCCGTGAATGGCACTCCTCTTTGCGTGGGGCACACATGTAGACGTGTAGATGCTGTGGCCGCAGGCCTGAGGGGCATTGACAAGTGTGCCAACCTTTCGAGGCAGCAGTTGCGCGGGCGGTGAGAGCTGGTCTGCAGAAGACCCAGCCTCGGTCCTCGGGGGTGAGGCTGGGAGGGTGCAAAATGGTCCGAACGACCGGGAGCTCGTTCTGCATTGGCATGTGGTTAGATGTAAACTCAGAGAATACATACATATGTCACATATAGTGTCTACTCTTAAAGGAGCTGACGGTGTAATGGATAAAAAAGCATGAGTAATTTCAGAATAAAATAATTGTGGTAGTTATATTTTCCTAAATAAAATTAAGCAAACTGATAACTTCCATTAGTTACAAAGGTTATGTGTTTGTTATCAGTAACAAAAACAACAGGTGTTTCCTAAGTGCCACTCTGCACGAGGCAGTGCTGTGCTGGAGAGTCAGATAATAAGACTCGGTACTGAGATGGCATATTTCATTTTAATTTTGCCCCCAACTTGGAGGTAACTTAACCTGTTTTCGTCTCAGTTTTCCTGTAAATGTTAAAGGTTTGTTTAACTATGGCTTCCGGTGGCCTCTCCACACGTGTCGGTGCCGTTGTACGTGTGCACGTGTGGTTTCTACAGGAGGAAACGGCCGGAGAACGAGAAGGCTGCGGGTGGACGTTCCTGTTATGCCCCCAATTAAAACGAGAGCCTCTAGGGAAAGTCCTGACACGCCCGTGATTGCTCTGGGACGAATGGGAAACAGTTCTTTCAGGCCCCGTTGTTTCGGTTTCTTTCAGATCATGAAGTTAGAGATCGATGAGATTGCGGCCCCTCGGTCGTTTATTTTCCTCTGGTGCGGCTCCGGGGAAGGGCTGGACCTTGGGAGAGTGGTAAGCTGGCGTTTTGTAAAGTGGGTCTTTAAATTCACAAGAGAAAATGCAATAGGATGCATTGCCTGAGACCTTTCAAGATGGATGTTTTGTCTTTTGTTTCTTGAATGGCAATAACATATTAAGAAAACATAATCAGGAAAGAATGTATGGAAGGCAGTACCCACCCTTAGTTGGCTACAGTGGTCACCAACCGGTGGTCCCCGGACCACGGATGGTCCGTGAGGTCCGAAAGGGTGGCGACCGCTGGACGAGGACCAGGGGTGCATCAAAATGGGGTTTATAACGACTGAAGGAAGAAAGTGGTTTCGAGATTTAAAACTCTAGCTCACATCTCAAAAACAAGCTGCCTGGTGTCACTTGCTGCTCTAGCTAAAAGTGCTTTTCTGAATTCCGTTAATTCCTCAATTCCATACGGAAGTCAGATGGAATGGGGAAGTATCCCTGCGCCTGGGATGTAGTTTGAATGAACGAACGAGAATGACGGGAGGTTCTCGCACCTCGGCTTATAAGTACCTTGTATTTAATTGTTTAGGACTTTCTTCTGTTTGATTGGGGTATCCTGTCGAATGGCTGTATAATAGAGACCAGGACTCTTTCCCACATCTGCAGTAAAGCAGTGCCTGTGACACCTGGGGATTGGGTATTTCAAGCCTTTAGGAAGTTTTCAGTGCTGGCTGGTTATTTTTAAGTGTTGTTTATTGCTTTTAGCTAAGGACTTTTTTAAATTTCAATTTCTAGTGTTTACGCAAGTGGGGCTACAGAAGATGTGAAGATATTTGTTGGATTAAAACCAATAAAAACAACCCTGGGAAGACTAAGACTTTAGATCCAAAGGCTGTCTTCCAGAGAACAAAGGTATTGCCTCCTCGATCTAGTCATCTTTATCTTTACGTTCTCGATCATTTTTTTTAAAATTTTCATTATTTTCCAAATGACTGCATATTGTTTAATTAATTTTGGTGGAAAGGTCCTTTTCTCAGACTTGTGCAAATGGCACTGAGCATTTATAGGAAGACACCAAGTTAGTGTTTGCAACATAGCTCTTTACAATATCGTATTAATTCAGGTGTAGAAATGGTGGCTCGAGATTTACATTTGTTGCGCAGTGGTCACAAGTGCGGCTGCTCGAGTATTAGTGACTGCAGCCTCCATGGTGTTTGTCCCTTCCTGTGACAGTCTGACTTTACAGCTGGAAGTGTGTGCTCCCAGCCCCGCCCCCCTAGTTCGTCAGTCCCCCACCCTGTCCCTCTGGCGACCTCCAGGTGGTTCTGTGTCTGCATCTGTTTTGTTTTGGTTATTTTGGTCTTTAGGTTCCACATATAAGTAATACCGTGGCATTTATCTTTCTCTGAGTCATTTCACTTAGTTTCATACCTTCCGGGCCCATCCATGCTGCTGCAAATGGCAAGCTTCCTTCTCTTCTCTGGCTGCAGCATCCAGTGCGTGTTCCGTGCAGCATCTTTAGTCACCTTGCCCTCCAGCAGTTCCCTCAGCGGAGCCGTTGCTGGGAGGGTGTTTCTTCTTTAATCGTTTCCTTGGACTGGAACATTCTTTTGAAGGGAACCCAAGCCACCCGTCCATGTTGGTTCGTGGAATCAAGTAGGAGGCTAAGTCTGTTCCATCCACACCCCTGCCATCAGGTGAAATAGCGAGGGTCTAAAACAGACAACAGGGAAAAGGGTTTGATTTGCACATTTCCTGTGTCAAGTATTTGGAGTCTATCCAGGCTTAAAGCCTCTTCTCCATATTAAAAGGCTTATATCTTGTGTATAGTTTGATCTTGGATCATAGTAAGCCCAGTATAACATCATCGTGTAGTTCAAAGGTCAAGTTTCATGTTTCCATACCTGTTGAAACAGGTTATGGTTAAGTTTTAGAGGGAAAAGACTCCATGGTCGTTGACTCTGATCTAGAATGTGGTGGCTCCAAGTCTAGTCCTCTTGTCTCGCCTCCCTGGCCATCTCCCCACACCCGGGAGCCCAGGTCTTCTTGCTGTGTCCCCCAGAGCACCATGTCCTAATGGTCCAGAGGACGGAGGATTGGTTAGGACATGGGCCGGGGGTGTCGGAGGCTGAGCAGCGTGACGGGGAGGAAGTGATGGTCTCTCCTTGCTGCCCAGGAGCACTGCCTCATGGGGATCAAAGGGACCGTGAAGCGCAGCACAGACGGGGACTTCATTCACGCCAACGTCGACATCGACCTGATCATCACGGAGGAGCCTGAGATCGGGAACATAGAGAAGCCCGTGGAGATTTTCCACATCATCGAGCACTTCTGTCTGGGCCGACGGCGCCTTCACCTGTTTGGAAGAGATAGTACGATTCGGCCAGGTAGGACCTCAGGATGAGAAGAGAGAACTCGGCCACCTGGGGTGTAGGTGTCCGGAGCTTCTGCCGGGCTGGGTGCAGTGAGGCCCGCCAGGCTCACCCAGGTCCCCCTGCTGCAGCCGGTCCACTCCCCTCCGCGGCCACTCTGGTTCCTCACGTCCTTACATCATTGAATTGTAGATTCCTGCGCTCCCTTCTCCCGCACGCAGGGCCTTTGGTGACTGCGGAACGAGGACGCACGAATGCTGGGTAGTCCTGCCGAAAACATCATGCATTTGTGCGACCCGGGTCGGGCTTTAGTAGAGGCTGAAACGCCTGGCTTGTTCCTTACGTGTGTGGTGGTGGCCTCTTTTCAAAACCGTACTAATCACTACAGTGTGCATTCGCTATTTTAAAAAGACTAGAAAACAATTCGCCTCTTAGGGAAACTCGGGCTCAGCTGCAGATGAGACCAGGCCTCCTGCCTGGAAAGGGCACAGTTTCCCTGCTTTCCTTCTCCTCAAATCTGTATGCACTTTGATACGAATGATGTTTTTACACAGTGAACAAGGGAGTGTGCGGAATGGCTGCTACCTCGTGGACTGTGACCTGGTCACATGCCTTGCGTTCTGGCGTTTTGTGGTGGATCCAATGCCTGAGAATGAGCGTGAGGGCGATGGGCAGGGTCTGTGAGCCTAATTCGTGGAGCTCCCCTGCCCTGCGCTGAAGGATCCGGGCCCACAGCACTCAGAGCAGATTCCCGGTCTCTTCCCAGACATGTCAGCTATGAGACCACCCCTGGGAAGCCAGCCCCGAGGCGCGACGCCCGCAGGGCACTCAGTCCTTGTAGCCTCGCTCAGGCGCTTCCCCGTGAGGGTGTCGAGGGTGTCGGAGGCTGAGAGCGCAGCCGCCCAGCAGGGGGCGGGCCGGAGCCTGGACCTGGGGGACTGCGTGGGGGTCTGAGAGAAGTGTCATCCATAGGAAGGTTCCCTTGACCTGCGCATGGAGGGGGCTGTCAGGGCTGACGGATGGAAAGAAAGCAGGCACCGAGGCGGGGACAGCCCCTGTCCGGTCACTTTCTCTAGTGAAGTTGCGTGGACGGGGACTGAGAGTGAGGTCAGGCCTCCTTAGAAAAGACCTTAGAGGCCGCACTTGGACTGTCCAACGCAGAGGAGCCCCTGGCTGAGCTTTGCTGGAGGCTCGGGCTTTCAGAGGGAGGGGTTGGGACTCAGGATCCAGGCTGCCTGTCTGAAGGGAGGGGCAGGTGGTGGGGTGTGGGGTGAGGAGCAGAGGGGGGCCGGCTGAAGCTGGGGGCAGGGTGGGGAACGTGGGGCACCTCTGGGGCCGCTGGGCTGGTGCGAAAGGAAGGGGGTGGGGGCTGCAGGGCCCTCCTGGGAAGGAGGCACAGTCCTGGTGGGAAGGAGCGGGAGGTGCTTTCTTCCTGAAGGGGCAGCAGCAAGGAGCTGGGCTCTCGGCACCAGCACCATCTAGGGAGACACAGGCAGGGCCGGGTCTCAGGTCTCCGCCTCCTTGGAAGGGCGATGTGGGGTGCGGGGTGCACTGGGCTGGGAAGAAGGTGAGGGAGACCGCGGGGCAGGGCGGGGCGGGGCGGGGCGGGGCGGGCGAGCTGAGAGTCGTCCTCCCTCCCCGCAGGATGGCTCACGGTGGGACCCACACTGACCAACAGCAACTACAATGCGGAGACCTACGCGTCCTACTTCAGCGCCCCCAACTCCTACCTGACGGGCTGCACCGAAGAGATCGAGAGGCTGCGCCCCAAGTCGCCCCCACCCAAGTCCAAGGCTGACCGGGGCGGGGGCGCTCCCCGGGGTGGGGGGCGAGGAGGAACCGCTGCGGGCCGCGGACGCGAGCGGAACCGGTCCAACTTCCGCGGGGAGCGTGGTGGCTTCCGGGGGGGTCGCGGAGGTGCACACCGGGGCGGCTTTCCACCCCGGTAACCAGGCCGGTCCCTCCAGCCCCGGCCTCCCCCGCTGTGGCCGGGACCTCCGTGGGCACTGCACATGTAGTTCTGCAGTTGCCGTCTCCCCGCCATGTCCACACCTGGACCCCACGATGAGCAGCACAGCACCTTCCCATCCCAGGCACAGGCCTGGGGCACCGGCCTCTGTGTGTGGAAATGGAAACGGGGGTGGGTTGGGGGGGACGGAGGCCCACGGGCACCGTCTGCAGCCTGCGCAGCAGCAGTGGCCGGGTGAGCTTCTTGGTGACACAATAGACACTTTTCTTTTAAAAAACCTTGGACTCAGATATAATTAAACTGCAGAGGAAATGGAAAGACTGAACAAAATCACCTCCCAAACCGAAATCTCCCAGCGGAGGGGACCTGCAGGCAGACTCAGCCCGCAGCCCTCGTGGGGAGCTCAGCCGCCGCCGCCGCCGCAGGACTCAGCTCCCAGGCGCAGACAGGCCCGCTGGCGCGGAGGACGGGTCCAAGGGAAGGAGGCAGGGAGACCCTGACCCCGGCGCCTGCCTGGGGAGAGCCCCCCTGCGGAGCACGGGGTGCCTGGCACACTTCTCGTGGGGAAGCAGTGGGACCGCTGACCGGGACAGGAAGGAGCGCTGCCCTGGCCCCTCAGGTTCCCAGGGCCTGGCTCTGCTGTAAATGAACTTCACGAATGAAATACTGTTGTCCTTGATAAATATCTTCTATTTTGTGCAGGATTTTTCTAATAAAAGCTGAAACTCCGAGACCCGGGAGTCTGTTTTCTGTTATGGAATCGCCTTTGTTCCGCATGGAGCCTGACCTCTCTGGGCCTGGGGCCCTGACAGCAGCTCCTTCCACTAACCCTCGGTTTGACGAGACGAGCCGAGTCAGGAAGAGAGTTGAGACCTGCAAGGCCGATGAGGTTGGCTGGCCCGCCCTGCCTGTCCTGGTAGTGCAGGTAGTTTAATGCCTTTCTTTTTAAAAAAATAAAATATCCTAATGATAGACAAACATGGTAATTGACCGTACCTTCTCTACGCCTCCCATTGGCTAATCAGCATGATATGCAAATTCACTGCCAACAAAGATGGCGGCAAATTTGTATACTGCAGGCAGGGCAGGCCTGCGCGAGCCGCCATCCGGGCCCCCGTGTGCCGCCTAAGCCCCGCGGCCAGCTGGGCCCCCCATGTATGGCCCTGGGCAGCGGGACCCCCGTGTGCGGCCCTGGGCGGTAGGGCTTGGCGGCGAGATTGGCCCGAGGAAGCCCTATTCTTGCAGGAATATTCCTGCAATGGGCTTCTAATATATATATATATTTTTTTTTTTTTTTAAATTTTTTTTCTTCATTGATTTCAGAGAGGAAGGGAGAAAGAGAGAAACATCCGTGATGAGAATCTGATCAGGTACCTCCTGCACGCCCCCTACTGGGGATTGAGCCCGCAACCTGGGCGTGTGCCCTGACTGGTAATTGAACCGTGACCTCCTGGTTCACAGGTCGATGGTCGAACACTTAGCCAGCCGGCCGGGCTGACTGGTGCCTTTCTTGGTGAAGACCTGGGGTGTCACAGCTGGTTGGGGCTTTGCTGGAATAACGGTGTGTTGTCAGCCTTTACAAATCATCGGGAGCCAGGACTGTCCACGTTCACCCGGGTGCGATGAACATGGAGGGATGCGCAGTGGCCCAGGTGGGTCCTGAGAAGCACCGGCTAGGAAGCGCCCGTCCCATAGACGGACTGGTGCGTGGCCGCGCCCTGGGCCCAGCCACGGGGCGGCTACTGGGCTGCCCGGGCCTGGTCGCCCGGGAGGTGTGTGTCAGTGTCCCTGCCGGAGTTAGGAAACCTCCTTGTAGGTTGGAAGTTAGAGGGAGCCCGCCCACCGTGGAGCAAATAAGAGGAGGGGCTAGGGCGTGCAGGGCCTCGATGACCCCGTGTGGCCTGCGTGGCCTTTTTACAAGAGGAAGGAATGGACTCGCTGGGTCCCCTTCCTGCCCGTTGAGGCTGCAGCATCACGTCTACAGTGAAATCTGCTCACTGAGGACGGTTCCCGTGAACACTAACCCTTTCCTCTGGCCTCGTCCGCTTTTCATCAGCTTTGCTTTTACCTGCCCCGTCGCAAAGTGGTCCAGGAATCGCCAGGAGCGCTCCTTCGCTTCCCTGACCGGTTCCTTGTTGGGGCAGAAGCTGGCAGATCGCAGAGTCTGACTAGAGAGGTGCGAACATGAAGTCGGATTCTGAAAAGAGCCTACATTTTCCCTAAGTTCTAAAAGTTCTAAGTCGAGCATCGCTGACATACATGTCACAGGCCTCGCTCGGCCCGATGCTGATGTTTACCCTCAGTGGCTGTGTCTCTCCCTGTGCCCGTCTCCCCGGACGGAGGGCTCAGGAGGCCACAGGCACTCGGCTCCTGACCTCCCCTCGCTGTGCAGCACGGGAAGGAGGGATGACCTGGTGGCACCGGCTGGAACAAGTGGGGGAGAGGATACCAGACCCAAACTCTGCTGAAACAGCCCTGTGGAGACAGCGGGGGTGCAGGGTGGTCCCCGGGCGCACCCAGGGAGAGGCGTCAGGACGGGGACCGCGTGGAGACAGCGGGGGTGCAGGGTGGTCCCCGGGCGCACCCAGGGAGAGGCGTCAGGACGGGGACCGCGTGGAGGCAGCGTGGCAGCCGGACTGTCCACAGCGAACGGACCGGCACTGGCAGCAGCGCGCTGCTCAGATGTGAGTAGAAGAGCCTCCTGTGCCGTGAGCACGCGTGGGAAGGGACACCCCGCCTCGCAGAGGTGCGTGTGGGCGGGGCTGGGTGAGCGCGTGACGGAGCGCTTCCTGCCATCGCAGTTGCTGAACGCCGGCTGCTCCTGATTAGCGCCAGCAGCTCACTCTCGCCCCCAGTGCTCTCCTCCTGATTTAGTAAATGTGTCTTTGAAGTGTACAGTTCCAGATTTTGCTGATCTGTTTCAGTCGTATTGACTCGACGAAACGATGGCCCGTTGGGACTCTCTAATTGGTGCTCTGTGATCTGAGTTTCCCGTTTCTGTGGGCGGTCACGGCAGACCTGGGCCACAGCAGCCGCCCTCAGAGCAGCCCGGAGGCCGGGCCCCCGAGGGCCTGCAGTGTCCCGGCTCCGGTGCCTGGGGACCGAGCACAGGTCTCAGCTGTGAAGCGGACACCAGGCCTTCGCAGAGCGCCTCCCCTGGCGTGTCCGGCTGGAGACGCCTGCCCCCAAGGCTCATCGTCCCCCGGGACCCGCCGCCTCACTGGGTGGGGACAGCCCCGCGGGCCCGTCCCCAGTGCTGGGCGCCTCGCAGATCGCGGGCTCTGACGAGAGAGGTGCTAACGACATGAGGCCGGACTCGGCAGGTTTCTCCAAAGACACCAAGTAGGTGAGAGTCTGGCACCCACACGGGAGCGGGCGCGTGGGACCGGTCAGTGGGGAGCGTGAGTGAGGGCGGACGGAGCACCGCCCGCCCTCCCCTCTCTCCCACGGGTCTCGTCCGTGCTGTCCGCTGGGAGGTGTTCTCGCTCCTCTCGGAAAAGCGGAGCGGCCAGCACCTCGACAGACAGCGATGGGCCGGGCCGAGGCCGGTGCGGACAGGAGAGCCCGCCCGCCCGCCCGCCAGGTGGGCATCGCGGCTGCGCTCCAGCCGCGGTCGCCGCGGAGGGAAGCGGGTACGGCTGATGTTCCTGCGAAATCCCTGCCTTTGCCTCTCATGGAACTAAATTTCTGAAAGTTAATTTTGCTAATGCCGCACGCATAGTGTACATTCTGCCCGTGAATACTACGCAACCAGGTTCACTGGACGAGGAAAACGGTCCGTGGGGGCAGGACACCGCCCCCTTTGAGCGCGTGTGGCCGGGACGCTCGGGGACACAGGATCGCAGCCGCGGACGGACACTCGGATGCGACTGCGCTGTTCACCTGCCCACGGGGGGCCAGGGCCGGGCCTGGGCCTGGGAGGAAAGAACCCCCAGCTTCTCCTGCCCCTTCGTGGGGTTTCCATTTTGTCTTAAAAGCAGAGGATGGAGGGTCAGGGCAGTTGTGTTCAGAGATGCCCACAGTTGTTCATGCCGGGGCACCACCGAGGTCACTGCCCCCTCACGGCGCTGGCACCGGCAGGCGGTGCTCACACGGCAACATGAGGGAGAGGCTTGGCCCATCATTCACTGGGCTGCACGGGTTGGGGGAGGGGTGGCTGTCCCAAAAGCGAGGCTTAGGGGCCTGGCCACAGGGGGTCAAGCTTAGAGCTCACTGGCCCTGGCCGGTAGCTCGGCTGATTAGCGCATCACCCCGATGAACCACGGTTGTGGGTTCGATCCCCAGTCAGGGCACGGACAAGAAGCAGCCATGAATGTGTAACTAAGTGTGACGACAAATAGATACTTCTCTCTCTCAAATCAGTTAAAAACAGGTGAGAGCTTACTTTTCTACTGTTCTGTCTTATTGACACAAGATTTTTAAAGCACACAAGCATGGTTAAGAATATTGTCTTTAAAGCAATTTTATGTATAAACATAATTCTAAAGCAAAATTTTAAGAAATATAAGCTCAAATGTCAGCTTTTCAGCCAACTGACTCCCTGCATTTTAAATCCTGCCGCCTCCTGGGGGCGGTGCTGACAGGAAGGGTGGGGCGGCCTCAGAGCTGGGGTCACTCCCAGGCGGGGTGCCTCCACGCGGACCCCCTGACCCGGGGGAGGCCGCCATCACAGCCAATACCGCCTGTCCCCTCCCAGGGGCCGTGCGTGAGCCGGCCCGTGCCCTTAGCACCCGGTGCTTGGCACCACAGCACGAAGGCAGAGGTGCTTCGGCCTCTGAGTGGGACGCCGTCAGGACGGATGGCCGGTCAGTCGGTCGGTCGGTCGGCCGGAGCCTGCCGAGCCTGGAGTGGCTCCCGAGGCGCTGCTCGCCCTGGTGGAGGCGCCCGGCTGTGCGGGAAGGAAGCCGTGCACCTGGTATGGACCTTCCTCTCACATGAGAGCAGCGTTGAGGCCCGGGAGACAGTGACTGCCACGGACTCCGTGCCTCGACGGGCTCAGCGAACCCATCGCCCGGCCCTGCCCTCCAAGGCCCTCTCCTCAGGATGTGGATCTGTAAACACTTTCTGCCGAATGCGACCTGCTCCGGAAGGACAGGGGCGTGTCCACGTCTGCGTGGCCTGTTGGTAGGAGCTGGACGAGCTCCTCCCAGTGAGGAGTGGGGCGCAGGGCAGGCGGCCGCGCAGCCTGGCGGGGAGGGGGGGCCCTGGGAAGTGCTGAGTGTCGTCCCCACGCCCCGAGCTCATGAGGAAGGCTCCCTTCCCCCCGCCGCCCCCTCCTGGTCCGGGGACGGTCCGGTTTCCTGCGGGCGCTGTGTAACACGGGGCTTCTTTGCACACGAGGGTTTACTGCTGCCAGGTCAGTGTATGTGCTGAGCCTCATCTCCCCTAATTCATAGATGTGGTCTTTTTGCCAAACCAGCATTAACCCCACAGAGTATCCTACAGCTGATTTCTTCAAACATGGGGAAAAGGTTTTTATAAATAGATTTTTATTGATTTCAGAGAGGAAAGGAGAGGGGGAGGGAGAGAGAGAAACATCAGTGATGAGAGAGAATCATGGATCAGCTGCCTCCTGCAACACCCCACACTGGGGAGTGAGCCCGCAACCCGGGCCTGTGCCCTGACCGGGAATCAAACCGTGACCTCCTGGTTCATGGGTCGACGATCAACCACTGAGCCACATGGGCCGGGTACAGATACTGTTTTTAAGAAAACCGTTTTTCATGGCCCGAAGGATACC